CCACCCGGGGGGGGACGTGCGGGGGGCCCGCCCCCCCCCCCGGGGGGCGGGGGACCAAAAGGGGAAACCCCCCCCCCGGGGAAACCCCCGGGGGGGCGGCCCCCAGGAACACCAACAGGCGGGGGGGGGGAGAGGGGGGGGGGGGGCTGAGATAGCGGGTAGGGTAGGGGGGTGCATATTACTAACGTTTTATCATGTTCTGTACCCCGGCTTGAGAGAGGCATCATGATTCGCGCTACCTCGGCTTGAGAGAGACATGATGGTTCGCACAAAACAAACAAAATTCAAGCGTATATAGGCGGATCGAGTTAAGTTATCGCCCCCTCTCTCAACTCTCGTCATTCTCCTAGGGCACCGTACGCCTCGTCTCTTGACCCTGTCCCTGGGTCGTCGTAACCGCTACAGTACCACAGCCACTACCCTTGTAAAGAAAAGGCTCTACACGTTCCGGTGATCGGGTCCAATGGAACATCGATAAATAGCACGCCAGTACGCGATGCTTCCTGAGAGGGTACTGTAGCCACAAGGGAACGCGCGCCGGCCGTTCTGCCTGTCCAGCAACATGCCTCTATGCTTGCGGCTCTGGCGACGATACTGCGCTCTCGCTTGACACTCCTCCCGTATGGACAGCAACACCGGCAGCTGCAGCGTGAGCAGTGGCAAAAGTACACAAAAGCGTGCCAAAACTCACTTAACTATGCTGTAGCTCAAGAGCAGCAGCAGCAGCAGCTGCTGATCATGCTGCTTACTTGGGTCTCTGCGTGCGCAAAAACAGGGGCTTTCCTACGTCCATCAGCAGTCAGTCTTGATTCCCACCTGGGCATTTCGGGACTGCTGTTGTCGATGCTGTCTCGGAACGAGCACCATGATTCGACTCCCTCCTCTCACGTCCGGGGGGCAGCGAACCTGTCCAAACGCACCACCGTCGTCAAAGTTATCGTTATCGTTGTCACTATTCCACCACATACTGTATCGTATCTATCCCGGTCGAGATCGGAAAGTTGAGTGGGGCACACGCACGTGCCGTACACGGCAACTCGCTGCTAAAAACTTTGACGAGCAAGAATTAGGAAACACCCAAGGGCCACCACCGTTATCAACCATCAACAAAAAACACTGCTGTAAAAAAAAAACTTCATCTCGTCAACATCGGCCGCCCGCCCACACTCACCACCATCGGCAGACCTCCGGCCATGACCTGGAATTCCTGCCCCGGTCTCACTCCGTTAGGTACCGTCACCGTGTACGGTATGGAATCAACATTGGTGCGGGAACCCGCCCCGGGGATGGAATACGCTCCGGGATTTTGTTCCGCCTGGACGGACGAGCAGGGGGTTAGGAAACGCATCGTCACGTGTAGGCCCGAAAGCCGGCCGGTGTGTGGAGATGGGGGAGGATAACACAAGTTTAGTTCATGGTGGCGACAGCGGTATATTCGGACTCACGTGGCTGCACCACGGTATATTCCGTGGGGGTGTGCGAAAGAAGCGGGGGCTTTGCCTTTTGACGTATTGCCCATCTGAAAATCGTACCACGAGATCAACGCCACTCTTGCAAGCAGATTGCCGCAAACGACGTAAGGCTTTGGGCATGAAGTACAGCTGTATGGGCCGGAATCCGTGCATGCGAGAACAAAGCACAACGTGCACAGCAGTGCTACAGCTATATAGTTAACACGAGCTTTTCCAAAATGGGTTGTAAAACCCGTCTTCCATCTTCTCTCTGCTGCACGACACTGAAGATGCCTGCGTTTGGTTCACAACGGCAGACGCAAGATTGGTTTCCGCCAAAGCGCTGGTTCCCAGGTTACAGACACGTGGCTGCCAGTTGATCTCGTAGGGGAGAACAACATTGCCACCCCCAGTGCTGCTGCGTTCGTCTCTACAAGAACGCCAATCACACGCATATGAGATTCGCTGGTACTGCTTTGTCATGAAACTATTATAGCGTCTAGTCTAGAGGGCGCTACCGTATTGACCACAAACAACATCCCGTCAAGCAAACTCCGGGAATTCGACTGCCCCGCTCTGCCGTACTCCATGGCCAAGCCGACGTGTTCTACTACAAAACCCATTTCCTGACGTGCTCATGGTACAACTGCCGTCAGTATCTACTACAAGTACTATACACACATGCCATCTCGAAGTACTTCGTAAATTTTTACGGGGATAAATAATGTTCTGTTGCGCCATCGAAACACACGGTCGGTACAAGTTAGATAGACTCCCCGACCCCCATCGTCTCCGTGGGGGACCTAGGTCGGAACTTTCTGCACACTACACGACGAGACCCTCTATCGTTTTCCGTTGTCTGTCTCCAACGTTCAGTGAGGGAGAGGAAAACGTGGAAAAGTTCCAATAATACACCTCAATCAACGGTATGGGAGGAAAAGGCCTACGCTTTTGTACGAGAGATTCAATCGATCCCACTTAACAAAACGCTGCAGGAACGCCCATCCCACCCCTCCAGCTACTGCTCAACAGCAGTGCCCCAGTCTCGACAAAGAAGACACCGCGGAGAGACCCGCTCAGCCGATCGCGAAGAATTAGCGCGATGATGATGCATCATCGCCCTGCCGTGAAGATGTGCCACAAAATTCCAGAAATCCATCACATCCCTCTCCCTCGGTCCTTCCTCCAGTTGCAGAGAGAACAAGCGTCCCCTCCTTTCAAAGCTATAATTTCTTCCACCCACAGAGGGTACAGCGTTAACAGCACGCCCCGGTTACCTACAGCAACAACACACAGACTTTCTCACCGGCACGCCCCCAGTCCTTCTTCCCGCAGCCGGCCTCGCGGCAGTCCGGGTAGCCGGAGTTGGACGAGGCCGGTTGATCACTTCTCTCCGACCCTGCGCCGCGGTGGTTACGCCTCCGTTGGAACCAGCAGCTGTGGCTGTAGACGGGCTGGAGTCTGTGTTCCCCATAGCACTCCAGCTGGCGTGCGCGCTTGCTCCTCCCCCTATGTTCGCAGCGCTCTGCTCGCTCCCAAACCTCTGCTAATACTCCTGCTGCTGCTTGCTGCTACTTCGGAGTAGGATGATGGCGACGAAGAGAGAGGTTGTCGGGGATATGATAGAGACTCGCCTGTGCACTGCTCGAGCTAGGACCGAGGCAGGGCTGTTGCGCGTAGTACGCCGCTGTACGCTTCGCAGTGGTAGCACACGATGACCCACTTGGCCGCTGCTGTAACGTCTGTCCCTTGGCGCTGCACAGCACAGCAGACCTCCAGAGGTCTTCGCCTATGCGTGCCGTTGTGCCCCCACCGTACCCTCCCGCGAAGCATGCCTTCATTCACGGTGCCCCCGAGGCCAGGGATGCACATCCATCTCCACACAGATCTACTACCATCCCCGTTGTCGTACGTCCACATTATTCAGCGTACGGCAGTAGACACCGACGGTAAGATGGAAGGGCGCGACCAGCAGGCGATGCAAAGAAAGTATCAAGAGATGGTCGCAGAACTGGACAAGATCGACGCGCAGCTTGTTCGAAAAGTGAGTGTACAATTAATTTGCTGCATTCTTTGCTTTGGATAACGTGGACTAGTACAAAAAGGTGGTGCCGACATGGGTGCCTCTGCTGTACAGCGTATGTTGCATGTTACAATAGTCTCTTGTTCTTTGTACTCTACCGACCTACTTTCAAAACTACATCACGGCAGCTACAAACAATATTCCAGTGTGAAGAACGATATGCTGGCACGCGCCGGTCTCCACGAGAGTGAGAATGTCGGATAATATACGAAGCGTCATTGACCGACCTCGTCGTCGCCTTGTCTACATACCACACAGCAGTAACAGGACTTCCAAAGAGAGAGAGAGTGCTTCGAGTGTTCAAAAACGCAGTGAGGTAAACCAGGAGTTTATCGCCATGTGACATTTGCAGTTGTTTCCTTGCTATTACAGAAACAGCAGTACAATTTTTATCTATTGATATGTACTCCCGTGCCCAGCGACGCGTAAATCTACATACATACAACGTACGGGTTGTCGCGATTGGCCAACATACGGGCGCTACAACGCCTACAAGCGAAGAAATGAGCAGGGTTCGACTAGGGTACCTGTGAGTTTTGAGCTGTTCAAAAAGCTGCGATCGTACAAGATGCAACTGCGATGTTGTGTACACCACAACAGAGGCAGTAGTCTAAGTCAATGGGCCGCAAAAAAGAGGTCAAACATTGCGTTGCCGGGAAACCACAGGGATCAGGCCGCCTCTGAGTAAGCCCGCGGCTCTTTGACTCTATCGTCAAGCCGTTTGAATTTTTCTATTTTCGGCTAGCGAAAACACCCCCCTTAACAACTAACTCGAGGAGCATACGATGGCGGCCTCGCACAGCAGCTCTCATGCATCGATCGTAGGGTAGGCACGTCAGGCTGAGAGGCACGTCTCCGGCGTGATGGGTTGAGAACGTCCTTGATTGTCCTTGTTTGGAGTCCCGTGAGAGATACCGTGACCTGGGGCAGATCAATAGCAGTACGACACAAGATTCCCTCATCCCCGACAACACAAGCTTCTCCCATATGTCGCACACAGGGATGTCGATCGAAGGAGGACAGTTCTTGGCCTTGGCCACGTAACGAGCGGCACCGTCATCTCATCATTTGTCTATCCACGCTGCATTTCTTGTCTCGCGCCCTTGGATGCATGCGAATCTTTTGTCTCTCCGCTGCTTCTCATTTTGTCTCGCGCCCTTGGATGCACGCGACGTGGTACCTACTACACGTCAAACAGGCCGCGGACTCGTGCACCGAAGCGTGCATAGGCAGCACCAGCCTCACCAACAGCGAGGTAGTGAACGCGTGCATGCGAAGGTGCGAGGCGTCCCGCCCAGTCTTGGACCTGACGGTTCAGCAGGAGCTGACCAACCTACAGGTGAACAAGCGACACCGGTTTCAGAGCCAAGCTTCCCGTTCGTTCCGAGCAAAGAGGGCAAACTGGAGCCATAGTCCATGACGAGCGGTGGAGAGCAGGGCTCACGCGGGTGGACATACATGTAAATGGGGCGGCCACCCAGCAATAGAGCTTGCCGGTAGCATCAGACGCCGCCCGGAGTGACTCACAAACAACGGCCCATTCACGTAAACACTTTTTAGGCAAGGTGGTGGTCGCAAGATCAAATGTTTTCGCGTTGTTGGCGTTCTTTTCGTGTGTGTGTGTTTTTTTAACCCTCCGGTGTGAGACGTCGCGGCCAAGCGTACTACCTGTGTTCGAACATCATCATCATCATCATCATCATCATTATGTATATTTTCAGGGCCCATTTTTGCTTCCGTTGTTTGATTTCTATAATAGCAATTAGCCTGTCGGGTAGTTGGCCCGTGAATGCGTCCGCGTCAGTTGGACCGATACGGGTGTTAGAATGTACTGAACAGAGACCGGAACGGTTTCTGTATAATGGTGTCAAGACAACACACCAACGATAACACTATTTATCTTCTGTGTGTTGATCGCCGGTCGATGCAGGGCCGCATGCAGCTGTGCGCGTTGGACTGCGCCGACGAAATGGCCGCCGCCGTTCCACCGGGGACCAAGGAGAGCGACCCCGTATTGCAGCAAGGCGCATTGCAGGTGAGAGCAGCCGACGGCAACTGCATGCGACCATAAGCAGTCGTGTGTAGCAACTTGGTTCCGTGATACAGAGATTCGCGAAGTTTAGAGTGGTTGCATGTGTTGTTTTTGCCAACAGATGGCGCAGAAGTGGGAAGGTCTAACGGCTTGCATGCACAGCAACCGGTCGTGCGCATGGATTTGTTTTACAGAGATTGATGGCTTGTTGTGTGGCTGTTTGAGCAGGCTTGCGGGTCTTTGCGAGAACGCGTCGTGGAAAAGAAAGCGCGACTTGTGATGAACCTTGAGCTGCTGCTTGCCAGTGTCGAAAGGGTTTGTTGTGTTTATTTGATGTGCATCGACCGTGCTAACCAGCTGACTGACGAAAACGGAAGCACGTTAGACTTACAGAAGGAAAAGCAACGGAAACACGCTGTTGTCTTTGTGCGTGTGTGTGTTCAAACGAGAATATTTTCTGTGCTTGCAAGTGAAAGGTTTGCTGCTGGCTGGCTGGCTGTTTAATGTTGGTAAGCGAATGAGGGAAACGAGTGACGTGGAGCCCACGTCCTACTCTTGACGTACAAGTGAATTGCTTCTTTCGCCTGTCGCGCTTGACGCGCCCATGACGAAGCCCAGCCATAAACTTGACGTTCAAATTACCCTCCGTCTTTGACACCCGTTTCTCTCTGCTTGCCGTGCACCCGCCGCAGAACATGGAGTGCACAGCGGCGTGTGCCTCCAAGTCAGTCTTGCTGATGTCGAGCACGCTGGCTAAGATATCGGCGGCAGCACATGAAGCGGCGAAACAGGCGAAATAGCTTACAGTACCGAAGAGAGCCCTGTACATAAAATCCTGGTAGAACACAAGATGTCCGGCAGGCCATTTTGCCACGTCATTCCTTGGTTTTGAGACATGTTTGGATTAGTTCTTGTTTCCCTGCCGTACATCATCAGTAGTCGTCGCCTAGAGATGTCACAAAGAACGTTTACTTCGGGGGATGAGGCTCAATTTTTTATTGCTTCGTCGCCACCGTCCGTGCAGCAGGTTTAACTTAGAAAGCCTTTCTCGTCACTTATGTACGTAGTAACTACCTGGTAGAGTTTAGTGTAGGACCCACCGCTGGGCTGTTTGCCTTATTTTGGCTAGACGATCGGAGCCTCTCTCTACCGGCACCAGCTGCTGCGCTTTGACGAAGCACAGCCTGCGACCAAGAAAGCAATTGCGATTCTTTCACGTTGACGTTTTGACGTTTTGACGAGCAAGGAGGATGTGGGGGGAGGTCAGCTAGGGTAGTTTGTGACGTAAAGCAACAACACTAGTAGTCATTTCTCGTGTCTCATGCTCAAGCTTTGTTAGGAAAAATAAATACAAACACAGAAAGACTACCCATTCGAGATATCACCACGGCAGTCGAACGGGATGTGGTGGAGTCTTTTCAGTGAGTGGAGGAAAACCGACTGGGTACTGGACTTATTTCTGTGTACGACGAACTCAGTGCTCCGAAGCATGGCATGCTAAAAAACTGGGAGTGAAATAGAGATCCATCCGTTGGTGTGATGGGGTACATACAAAACCTTTCTTTGGGAGAGTGCCGTGGTGGAACAGATGCGGCAATACAACATGTGCGTAGAGCAGCAGGAAAAAGCACGGATTATTGATTTATTTGCGAGCGCCATCCTCCTACTGTGACAAGGGGTGCAACAAAGCAGCCGCAACAACGCTGGCATGGGGCTAAGGTTGGCGTTGCCTCTTCCAGTAACTTGTAACTTGCCGAATTTCTTTTTTCTTGTGAATGAATCTGATTGCAAAAGGGAGAGGCACACCATTGGTTTTCATATTGTACCTCTCTGTTCGGAAACCCACGAAGGGCCATTCGGAAGCATCTACTGTTGTGATTGTGTCCCAATGGGTCCTGTGTTTCGGAACGAGAGGTACAGCAGTTTTGAGTGTTTAGTCTGATATGGAGCTGCGCGGCCGCGCAGCCAATGTTGTCGGGGTATACCCCCTATCTTAGGACAACTTTTTTGCCATGTACACTCAAAGTAAAACGAGATCCAGCCACATCTTGTAAACTTGCGCCCACAGCAAAGTTCTCAAAATCAAGCAAGTTGGCGACCGGGCGAACCGTTCTGTGCGCCGGTCTCCGGTTCTTTGTTCGATAAAGGGCACACACAGAAGAAAATTGACACCTGTGTTTTCCATCTGTGAATCCCCTGTCAGCAGCAACAACAGCAACAGCGAGCCCATACAACAGCATATACAGCCATAGCAGCGCACGCCAACAGCAGACGATGACTGAACAGGACCAACAAGCACTGCAGAAAGGATTCCAGGGCCTGGGAGACAACATCGACAGATTCTATGCGAGACCCTTGCAGAAGGTATGGGGCAATCAACCACAGCTCGTTGGGTGTCAGGGATCCATCCGCACCCACTAAACTAACAGCAGTATGGCTGTGGCGGTTCACTACAAGTATGCTGTATGGGGCTGGGCACAAGGAAACGAACCAAACAGGAGTAAGAGGTCGTTCGGGCTGCACGCCGACAGGCTTGTCTGGGTGTTTTTTGGTTCATTGTGATGGCGAAGGACATCTGCCACCGGTTGGTGTGTGTGCTACTACGGCGGTATATATTTACCACGTTGCTGCGGCGGAGGACAGCCGCATCTCAGCGGAGAGACAGAGACAGAGAGGACGGAGGTGGGGTGTGTGATGTGCAATACAACCACAGACGATACAACCACAGAGCTTCCTCCGCATCAGTTTCCAGAATGGCATGCACGTGAACAAGCTCTGCGACAGCAATCACCTCAACCAAGTCGTTTCGCATAAAAAATGAGTTATTCCTCCGGCAGCGAGAGCCAAACGGCCGTTTCAGGAGGCAACGAAACTCTCTCTATCCGGCAGCAGCTTTTGATGCATACAGGGAGCAGAGCTGAGCTATTCGACCTCATTGGTAGCGCGTATGCAGCTCTACACAGTACCGTCGCCGTCAGCGGCAAAGGGAATCGCGTTCTGCCCTTGAAAGTTGAGAAGACATTAGAGAAAATACTGCAATATCCGTTACGGCCCTGTAGTCTACATGCATCGCTTTCGATAGGCTGTACCCAATAACGGTCGGTGAAACATCAAGCGCACCTCCCCCTCTTTGTTCCGTCTACCGCACCGCCCGTCGAAGGCCGCGTATTTGTGCATGAGCAAGTGCAACGACAACAGCAAGATGTCCAGCGAAGCCGTCGCCGCGTGCATGAAAAGGTGCGAGGGCCCGCTGCAGGAGATCAACAAGGTCGTCCAGGAGGAGGTTGGTGGCTTGCAGGCGAGTCAAAGATACCATATCTCACGATGCATCACGATGCATCATCGTTAGAATCGATCTCCACTCACTGAAAAGGCTCCAACACATCCCGTTCGACTGTGGCTATACCTCTAGCGGGTAGTTTTTCTGCGTGTTTGTTTGTTTTTTTCCTAATCATTAGCATGGATCACTGGATACCGTTTCGTCTTTCATCATCATAACAATCGATCAGTAGATAACATGGGTCCTTTGAGACGGTTGTCTCCGGGTTTGCGTTGCGGGTCGAGGTTGTTTTGTGGGATGTGTGGTGTGGGAGAACCACCCTCCTCGTGTTCCATGTGTCTTTGAGAATGGTACGTGGAACGGCGGTGGACGATGCGTGCTGTGTGTTGCTCGCAAGTGTCAACTGCAACGGCGACATCAATGAGAAAATGCTACTCCACGCTCATCTTCGGTACAAGCGTATTCACGCTCGTGCTCGCTTGACAAATCTACCCGCTGGTTGTGGTACTGCCGGGTGCTTGTGCTTGCACCACCCTACACAGCAGCATTTCACAACGTTGCGCGCAGCGGAGGGGGGGGGCGTGCGCCAGAACTTTCTGCAGTGTCCCGCCGCAGCAGCGACACCAGTATCAATCGCACCCAAAGAGCGGGGGTTTTCACGCCACCATCGTGCACTACGTCGTCGTTGTCTTGCCCCTGCCGTAGAACCGGATGCAGCGCTGCGCCATGGATTGCGCCGCCGATGCGAAGGACTTGATTCCGGCCGGGGCGAAAGAGGGGGATGCGGTTGTGGAGCGAGCAATGGCGCAGGTGAGGCACCGGCAGCCGTAGATGTAGCATGCAGTCTGCGCTGGCGATCGATTTTTGCCCACGTGAAGCCAAGGAGGTAGGTACGGTGCTATCACTCGTGCGACGACACCTGACTCGGGGGATGTATCCGACGACTGCCCTTATTCACTACCGCGGGAATGATTATGCACTACCAACGACTAGACCGCGGGTATAATTATGCACTACCAACGACTACAGCAGAACTCTACATCCGGTTTTCTGGCAGGTATTGCGGGTAGAAGCCACGACCGAAAAGTACTGTTGAGTGTGTGTGCCTGGGGCACAGGAAGTCAACGCGCCCTCCCTCCTCTTGTGCCTGTGTGTGCCTCTTGTTCCCTGCCCCTCAGAACATCAAATGCACAAGCGGGTGCGCGAAGAAGCATCTGGCGCTTCTGCCAAATATAGAGGCGAAAATTAAGGCGGTTGCGGAAATGGTGGCAAAATCGAGTTGACGATCCACGCCGAAGGATGTTCGCTGACTTTTCTTTTTTCTTTTTGAAGAAAGGGAAGGACACACCTTGTTGCTACTTTTGATAAAATAGTTGGAGCCATTTCGTGCTTCGTTTCAGTACGGTAACGAGATTGTCCTGAAAAAATCGGGGGGGCTCCGGTGCACAAAATTTCCGTTGGTCCCCCCGTCACCGAAATTTTACATTTTGGGGCTAATAGTTTGGTTTTGTGCATGAAGAGAGTGATGAGGGAGGGCACTGAAGGTTCCGCGCAACTCCTGTTGGGAAAATATTTCATTGCGGCGTTCCCATGTGTGTCGCTCGATACGTTCGACGGCACGGCGTTAATTCGGGCTAGCCGGCGTAATGATTTGATCTGTTAACTTGGAGGTTGACAACGTTCTTGCGAGAAGCGATATGGTGGTCCGGTATTGTGAAAGGGCTGTTTTCCGTTGTGCTCGTTAACTGCTGTGCCGTGCAGCGACGTTGAGCTGCCACACACTCCAAGAACGGGATGGAAGGCGTGGTAGAGGGAAGATGGTCGGAACGGTTCTTAAGATAATGTCAAGACAACTTTTGATCGATGTCGATCGATCTTGGGGCACACCAAATGGAGAGGCTTGTTGACCGTTGATCTCCCCAGGCACGCGGAACAACCCGCAGGGCTATGCACACGCATATGTACGCCAGTCTTACTCTTGCCCGTCTCTTGACTCGCGACTCAGCACATTGATTCTGTATCCAATGATGAACCGAATTTTCTTGGAGACGACTCGTTCGCCAGTTTTTTTCTTTTATTTTCTGCGTATCTAAATCCCCCGATGATGGGTATTTCGTAGTTTCCGCCACCGGTGGGGGATTAGTGTCTAAATACGCCACCAGCTGTATCGCGCCCTACAAGGCACCAAATCGACGTAGGACATGCGCAACTTGTGTTGCTGTGTTGTGGGGCTATCGTGGGACCGATCTTGCAGCCGAAACGGTTCAGGTTTGGTGCAGCCATGGTTGATGGGGGAAATTCATCAGCTGCCCCAACCTGCCCCACTGGTGGGGTACATAGCCTTGAATACCCCATCACCTGTATGTAGCCCTACAAGGCACCAATCGACGACGAAATACCCCACCGGGGGTGGATTTCAGGCACGCCGTTTTACGGTTTTATTTTACATGAGGAACGCCACCCTTATTGGTGTTCTAGACTCGTTTACTGCACGAACTGGATAAGAAACAGACAAAAAAAAAAGACCCATTCCTACTTGCCATGGTGCACGACTACTACGATGTCGTTGTGCCTCGTAACGTCTGCTGAGAACACAGACTGCCGCCCCCGTTGACACATGCATCCTCAACGAACTCCATCATCATCACCATCCTACCGGCAAGGTCCTTCTAGCTGCAGAATAAGTTCTCTCGGGAATACCTTTCAGCTCGCACCGAGACCGACCGCACTAACACGTATTCGTGCCCTTTCGATTGTGATCCAGGAAGCCCCCGCCGTCTGTCCTCGTCCTACAATTGTCCTACAAGTAGTGCACAGCATGAGGCCATGACCCCCCCCCCCCCCCCAAAAAAAGCCATTTTACTACCCCCCGGCCTGCTTGCAAAACAATGTTCAAAACCCACCCAAGAAAAAAAAAAAGTCCTGCCCCCCCCCCCCCCCCCAAC